TATCATGGACTTTACAATGAAACCTGGTGGGGTGACTTAGAACATAACATAAAAAGCATTCTTTATTATGGCACAGGAGAATTTCTCATCATTTCTCTTTACTAATATTGAGCTAAGAGACGTAAAAGTGACACAAAGTCATACTTTTTCTCTATAAATTTAACTAGTTTTTTTTTTCTTGATGTGTTGTTGCTCATTTGTTTTTGCCTTTTTTAAGAAGGAAGAATTCCCTGCTGTGTTTGGTTTCATTTGAAAGAGATACTCTCAATGACACTGAAAATGTAAAGCTTTAAAAACTTTTTTATTATTTTTCTATTAATGGATTTCCAATTCCAACCTACCATGCTTGGCAGATGAATGTAGTAGATATGGATAATCTACAAGTCAATGCTTCATCTGTTGAAAGTCAAAATAAATAATGTTTAATCTTTCCTAGTATGTAAGTATTTGGGTTTTGTTTTGTTTTGTTTTGGTTTTGGTTTGGGTACCAGGAATTGAACTCAGGGGCACTCGACCACTGAGCCCACATCCCTAGTGCCTCACTGTTGCTAAGGCTTTGAACTTGTGATCCTCCTGTCTCAGCCTCCTGAGCCACTGGGATTACAGGAATGTGCCACTGTGCCTGGCAGTATTTGGGTTTTTAACTATGTTAGAATTTACTCTAAAAACTATAGTAATAGACCACTTATTTTATAGCAAACTAAGCCATGATAAATTACTGGGTAAGACATTCTTTCATTTTGGAATATCTCAGAAGAGCTCAGACTATAGTTTGAATACTTAAATTTCTGGGGGAAATACATTTTAATCTACCTTATGTATTTATGGTACCTTCATTTTTCTTCATGAAGTATGAGGACATTGGAAATATAATTGAATCTTTTCAAGTTTTCTCATTAATAGTTCTGGTTATGTTAAAATATTCAGCATCCTTTTACCATGGAACATTACTTAGTAAGTTTAATAAAAACATTTAAAATAGTTTTGAGTCAAGAAAACAAATTTAAATATTCTTGATAGTATTTACATATGAAGATTTGATATTACTCTTTTTGAAGCAATGTATTTTGATTGAATTACTTTCATGATTAAAGAACCACTTCTTGAAGTGAAGCAATAAGGAAAGGTGTTCAAACATGGACCTGACCAACATTTCTAGAAGGAGAAGGTTTGGCTTTTCTGGTCTGCTCCCCTCTTCAAGGAAGCAGAAATCCAGAGGGAACAATATATATCAAGGTAATCAACCTTAAACATGATATGGAGAAGAACTGGCTATCTTTAGATAGGAAGTTTGGATTCTTTTCGGATCTTTAAGCATGAGTTAAAGACAATTTTGTTTTCCTTCTATACATGGTTCCATATATATTTTGGTCTTATGCACATTAAGATAAGTTATATTGTATCAATATTCTTGAATAAGCATATTGAGTTTCACCAAGTCAATAAAGCTGCAATCTTCTTTTTTATGTCTTCAAACATACTTAACACAGAAGCACACATACAAAAGCTCCCATCTTTTATATCACCATTGTTATCATGCTATAGAATTTTCTAATGTGAACATAAAGATCAATTCAGGTAAGGCAAAAAGCACCATAAGGTAAAAGTAAATAGTGTTTAAACAGATACAATATGTTAGGTAATAGCACAAATTGCCCAACATCCATGGTGCACGATATAGAGAAAAAAGATATTCTCTTTTTCTGATAATGGTTCATTGGTATAAAACATACTAATGCTTACACAAAACTTGATTTAAGTTACATAAGTCATAGTTAGCAATTTAGTTAATTTAGTTAACTTGATTTTTCATGTAAACACTCCTTTCTGACTTCAGAAAAAGTTAAAAGTAGAAATCACAATCAAGTTTTTCTTGGAAGCTGAGATTGTTAGGTGACAATAGTTTAGCTTATTTCCAACTGAATTTCCTATAAGAATTTGAATATTTTCTAAAACAAATTTACATAATCTGAATATACAACCCCAAACTRGTATTTCCCCTCCATTAGAAATTATAAGAAAAATTAATTTTGGAATGCTCGTCACCTAAAGTGGTTAATGGGTTTCCTAATTTTAATTTGAATTTGCTTAGTTTTTTTTTAATGAAATGATCATATCAGCAAATTCATCATTTTACTTCATGTGGAAATCATGAGAGAGATCATGACTCCAGTGGTCTTAAAATATTTCATTGCTTATTAGCAGAGATGATAGAAGTTCAGTTTGGCTTCAAAATAGATATATTTGGCATTTAATAATCTGGATTTGAGCTATTTGCAAATTTGGATTTTTTTCTATACATATTAGCTGATAGATCTGTAGAATGAGGAAAATCTTGATTTACTCTAGACTATGAAAGTTTACAGACCTTATCTTATTGGAAACTTCTGCCAGTTTGAAAACACAGTTTATTTAAAACTGGCATAGAAACTGGGGAAGGAATTAAATGGGAATCAGGGTTAGGAAGAAAGAGAAGGACAATAAGACTTTTATTATAGTTTTCAATATTATTCTAGAAATATCGTAGGTAATGAGGATAGAAGTGATCCCTTGGAAGCACCAAGAATACCTCCCAAAATAGAATATGAGGATTTCTGGATTTTTTATTTCTCATTAGTCGGAACTTGTTTATCAAACAAATACTTCATTTTAGAAAGCAGTCATTTCAAACTTTAGACTTTATTTACAATGATAATTTTCATATTTTATTACTTAGAAAATAATTTATACTTTTCCATCATTTAAACAAAGAATAGGCCTGAGTCTCATGCCTTTTGCACAGTTTTTACCTTCAAGAAAGTTCTCTGGGGAAAGAAAGGCAAGGGACATGGGGAAGTCACAAATTAATAGTCTACATACATCTAATGAACATCTGCATGATACTCAATTCCTTTTCTTATACTGGGATTGCAATGGTTAGGGTTTGTTCTGGAATCCAACTAAAATGGAACAAAATTCAGTATGTTTTTTAGAAAGTGGATACTTTTTAAAATATGAGGAAATTCCTTCACATGTCAGATGAAGACCAATATAGACATATTCCTGTACAGAGCTAATGTCTTCATCCTTTATTGAGAACAAAACCAGGTCTTATAAAATGACCAAAAAAAAAAATTACAGATAACGAAGAAAGCAAAAGTGGTGTTTTCACCAAGGAAATAATATTCAAAAGTCTGGCTTAGCTATATCACTAGAAAGACAGACAATCTATTAGCATGCTTAAAATAACATTGATAACAGAGAGAATATACCTGGACTTTTTCTTGACAGAGAACAACCTGTTCCAATTTTTCCTAATATTGATTTTATGGCTATCTATACAACGATCCTTCTCCCTAAGTGGGCTGGAAGTTCCTTCATTTGAAAGACCTGAGTTTATCTAATATGGCACCTAAAAAGTAGGCTCATATAAAAATGTAGTAAATTGCAACAAAGACATTGGCACCACAGGAAGTAAGCTCTGGATCTGGAAGTGAACACAGTAATATTGCTGTCACCAAGGAGGGGGAAAACATCACAAGCAGAAAATATCTGGTTATGTCCCTAGGTGCATCTTTTAAGATGCACCAGGTGTGTATGAAAGTCACACACCTGGTGGATCTCCATTCCTTTATTTCAATTGACTTCTAGCTTACATATAATGGTAATTTATTTTTTAAGAAAAAGTTACTAAACTGCCTGGATTGATGAACATGATTCTGGAATAAGAGGGTCCAATTGATTTGGTCATTATTATTCCGATTATATCATGTACCTTAAAACAAACAAACAAAAAAAATCCAGGCAGTTGGCTAAGAACTCCATGGTGCCAGCCAGGCTGGCTTCTAAGCAGAAAGCTTTGCAGAATAACACTCCCTACACACAGAAGGGACTCTCACAGTGGCTCTGCCACCCGACTCACTCCACACCTGTTTTTTCCTCTATTTCTATTCATTTTAGAGATATATAGTCATATGGAGAAGGACAAAAGATTAATTCTAAGTACACAGATGCAAAGAATATGTGATTATAAATTCCTTTTTCTTTCTTATTTGTAAGGGTAACTGTTAACTTTATTGGGGAAACGTTTTTGACTCACAGTACATTTTGCAAACATAGAGAAACACAGGCAATTCTAAGAAAACGGGAACTCAGCAAATGCTAAATAATGACCTGGTGTTAACTCAGAAATACAAATTGAAATATATACTAATTATTTAGGTATTGTTTGCATCCATTTGATCATCTTTACATTTTCCTACTTAATAGAAAAATTTGCCTTGTCTTTACCTAATTTGAAAAAAATTCCATGAATTATTATAAAGTCATGCTTTGGAAGGAAAGAATACACTATCCAGTCATGAGAAACAAAGGGATTTTTCATGTAAACACTCCTTTCTGACTTCAGGAAAAGTTAAAAGTAGAAATCACAATCTAGGTTTTCTTGGAAGCTGAGATTGTTAGGTGACAAGCAAGTGTGTATACAGAACTAAGAGTTGTAGTCCCAAAAACATTGGAGAGAAATGGACATCAATTACAACAATTTGATACTGGTTTAAAAAGTCTTTCATCTGGGAGGCGAAGACCCAAAATTAGTTAGCATTCAGTTAGCAAGAGTTACTACTGGGAAAAAAAAAAAATTCTTTACAGCATCCTCATTTAATTGGCAAAAATAACTATCAGGTTATCTTTTAAATTAGAATAGGTAGATGAGCAGTTGTCCACAGACCTCTATGCCAATGAACTACACCCTCTTACTGGACCTGGAGATAGCTACAATGTATAAAAATGGTGATTAAAATATAACTTTATAAAAATGTTTCCCTTTTCCCTTTCTTTTCTTTAAAAAAGTGTTTAGTATCTACAGAAACAAACAAACAAAAAATCTTCATATTTACATCATGATAACTATTCATGACATATATAATAATATGAAATAAAATATTGAAAGTGAGTATCAACTTTTTAAATAGAGGTTTGGCTCACAGCATAAACAAGTGTAGATAAACAAACCAAAAAAAAAAAAAAAAAAAAGACTTTCAATAACAGCCCAGTCCCTAAACAATCCCTCAGTAATCTTCCCTGCCAAAAAGCATGACAATGTGCCAGACTGAGATGGAAACTACCCCATGGCACAGCATTAGAAATACCACAACAGGGGGTACAGCCTGACCTTCAACCCCAAAGTCAACCTTTAAAAGTTGCCAAGATCAGGCTTTCTTTATGTCAACGCCCTAACCCTAGGTTGCCATCTTATCCCTCATCTCTTGCTATATAACCCACAGTGGGTTTCCATTTGTCTTTTCATTTTTGACTACACATTTTGCAGCAAATTAAGGAGGCACAGGAGATCTTTGTTAAATATAATTTCCCAGGCCTTCTCTGGCATCGTTTTAGAACTCTCACCTGATGAAACCACCTGACTCCAGTTCCTTTTAGGTGTTTATGTATAAAGAATGCCATTCCCTTAAATGGTGTTTTGATCTTCTGTGAGTGCCCACACTCACAAACGGCTCCTATACATTCATTAGGCTAGTAGACTGGAAAATGCCTTCGTCTTCCAGGTTTGAGGCTGGTGGTACAGCGCCTCCAAGTGGTGTATAGCAGTAGTATCCATCAAATGGCCCATGAATGCCCTCCATCTGCCAAGAGGCCTTTATTAAAGCTAAATTGGAGGAGGGCATTTGGAATGACTGCCTTTCAAAGACACTCCAGAGTGAACTTCCTTCTCTTGTTCACATGTACTGAGACATCTGCTACAGCTATTCTACAAACTACTAAACCCACAAAAGTCTTTTACATACACACACACATGTGTACAAGCACTCTTTCAACTAATACACAATCTCACACACACACACACACACACACACACACACACACACACACACACACACACACGGTGTTGGCAGGATGTATCAGAATCCAAATAATGCTCTGGAACTTTTATCCCTCAGTATGAAGAGCTAAAGCTGCTTAGTTGGTAACCTACATTTGCTACACCACATCGTTGCTAAGCTGCACCATTTCCCTTGTGATTTGTTTTCCTTTATGATTTATTATATCACAGTGACCACTATATTTCTTAATATGAATGTTACTTAATTGTGGAGCCAGAGATCCTGGCTTTCAGTGTGTTTGTGTGTATACGCACATGTGTGTGAAGGTTTGTACATGTATCTATGTGGGACCTTATATATACACACACACATATATATATATATATATCCTCCTTAAAAAAAAAATCCGTCGAAGCTGGTGTTGCAAATGTGAAAGCTTCTCTGAGCAAGAGTTTTTCAACAAGGTACCTCACTGTAAAAATAAACACATAAAATGCGAAGAATCCCAAAATGCAATAGCCATTTGCCCATCTTCTCATATTTCTACAGTGTTGTGTCTAAGTGTTGTGCTGGCATGAAAAAAGTCTGTGACAAATTTAGTTTGGAAACACAGCTTGTTCTGTTCATGGTCACAGGTTTGGCTCTGGGGCCAGGCTCTCCTCTGCTCTTGGTTTCCCTTTCTCCTCCTCTTCTTCCTTGATGGCTTGGATCTGCTCTGAGGAGTACTGCTGAGGAGCCTGGTCCAGGGACTGGTTTTCTGTGCCCACCAACCGCTGCTCATCTTCAATGACTTTCTTCCACATCTTGTGGTTCTGTAGGAGGTGCTGAGTTATTTGGCAGTAGATTTTCTTCCTCTTAAAAGTTTTCTTTCCTAAAAAAGGCCATAAAATTAGATGACTTATTCATGTGCTGAACACATAGAAGTTATTTCTTTGCATATTATTAATAGGATTTAAGAACCAAATGGATTCATATGGAGCTTTCAAGAATAAGGAAATAAGAGAAAATGATAATAACTAAATAACTATTAAAACATCACTGAGAAATAACTGTGCACAGTATCCAGTACTGGGTAATGTCCACACAGAGTTCTGCTGGTGTCTTGGTATTACTCCTACGACAGTTAGACTTTCAAAACTTCTCACCTGGACCACTGGAATTGCTTGTTAGGTCTTCTTTTGTCAAAGAATTCAACTCTCAAATAAATCTACAAAGCTAATCTCCTTTAAAATGTTTTTGATGTCAGACTTCTGCTTTGTGTGAACTAAAAAACGAATTTCAAACTCCATTCTAAGTTCTTCCACAAGCTGGTACAAACTCAGTTTTATGGTCTTCCTGTTCTACAGCCTGACCTCTGTCTATGCTTGACTGATCTGTTTTCTTTACATACCCTGGACTTTTCCACTTGAAAGCTGATACTGCTCCTCCTTCTGAAATGCTTGTCTTAATCACTAAAAGTTCATATTCACTCATCAAAATAACCTCTAGTTAGGTTTTACTGGATTCTACTTCTAAGAAATAATTTCTTTTCTCCTCTTAAAATTTTCATGTTGTTCCATAATACTTTCTAGAGTAGACATTATTTCTTTTTTTCCCCTCTTTGTTATTATTATCTCTTTTTCTGGTATCTGCATATTCAAAATTATTAGGGAAGAAGTCACCTCCCTTCCTTCAATTATGCAGTTCTAGAAAATGTGTCAAAGACTAGTTCCCCAACTACCTCCTGACAGCATGAGCTGTGTCACAGTGATTGGCTAATGGGTCGGCATGTGATCCAAGTTGGGCCAATCAGATTCCTTCCCCAGGAGTTTTTCTAGTGATGCAGAATGAATGTAGAGTTGGAAGATGGGGGTTGGAATCTATTCTCCTCTGTTTCCATATCTGGAATGATATGAACTTAGAGCTGGCTATAGTTTAGAGCTGGCTATAGAGCTAGCTGGCTTTACTTTATGAAAAAAGTAAAGTTAAAATAACAAATTAATGGGAAGGTGAGGCAGACAGGAATAAAAGCAAGTAAATACTGCTAGAGGCCTACATTCTACTTATATGAAACCAATATTTTTCCCTTTCAGAATATACCCATTCAATGGGAAATTAGTAATTTATAACAAAAAGAGTCTTGAATAATGTCCCTCCTTAAAGAACATACCTTGTTCTCATATATTTTAGGTATCAGATCATCTTCTAAATTATAGATGCTTTGATGGAGCTTTGCTCAGACCTATACAGACCTTATATGACAAGGCTGAGCATTTAATCAATAAATAATTTACATTTTCTTGTTACCAGGAACAGTTTTCAATTTGAAAGTATTAAAAGACCTTGCTTTACCCCAAGGGTGTCTCTTTTTTGAGATTGCCCCATTCACCCTTGAATGTGAACCTACTTCCCTAAATAATCCCATTTATGCCTTTGAAAAGCAAAAGAAAAAAATATTAAAGATGAATTTTCAGAATTATAAGCACGTCACAGGTACTAGGTATTGTGCTAGGTTCTGGTGATTTACAGACAAAAAAAGACTAATTACAGATGAATATCTGTAATCTAAAAACTCCAAATGCAAAATGTCCCAGAATCCAAAACGTTTTGTGTGTGAACATGATGCCACCAGTGAAAAATTTTACACTAACCTTATGTGATGGATCATAGTCAAAACAGAAGTCTACTAAAAATATAATATAAAATTACTTTCAGGTTGTAAGATATACGATAAATATGAAACACAAAATAATTTCATATTTAGATTTGGGTCCCATCCCCAAGATATCTTATTATATACATGCAAATACTGTGAAATCTGAAAAATACCAAATCTGAAGGAGTCTGGACCCAAGTATGTTAGGTAAGGGAGACTTAACCTACACAATATATGTCAACAAGGAGCCTGCTCCACTGGGAAGATGGGGTGAATGAGTAGGTACATCTTTTTCAAATCTTACCAAGTCTCTGAAAGGTGATCCATGTGGGAGGAGATAGCAGGATGATGGTGGCTTGGACCAGGACAGGGTAATGGAAATTATGGTAAGTATTACGATATATATTTCTTAGGTAGAATCAACAGGACTTGGGAGCCAATTAAGAGGTAGGGAATGAAGGGGAGAGAGGAGTCAATATAACCTTGAGCTTTCTGCAGGTAAGAAGATGGTGGTAATAAGACATACATTAGATGAGGAGCAGGTCTGAGGAGTGTGAATAGGACCCAGAGAACATGAGGTGTCTGGGAGAGCCCAGTGAGAGAGGTAGAGTAGGCAGAGGCTCTGCACTTTAGGAAAGAACAGACCTCCCTGCTAAGCAACTGGAATATAATTCTTGGTACCTTCCTCTGAGCGACATTTTTAGACTTAGGCCAAGAATTTAGAATTTAGACAAAGATCCTACCATTAGACTATCAACTTGCCCAGCTTAGCAGCTCTTTTCTCCTCTTTTGTGTATAAAGCAAGCCTCAGACTTTATCAAGTATCCAGTAAGATACTTTCTTGCTTACATTCACTTTCTTACTTACATTCCATTGTTGCAGGTAAATGATGAAGTGTGGATGAGAGGTAAGAATAACAACGATAAGAGTCCACAGGAAATTCTGATCCAATTGAGACCACATTAAACTAGTAATAGTGCATGATCAAAAGGGGTATCGGGGTCTACTTAATAAAATAGTTATGGTTTACAATGCATATCCTGGAAAGAAGAAAAAAGTCCGGGTGGGGGGAGGGGGCAGATATTAATAACAGAAACAAAACCAAAGCCAATTGCTATGGGATGTGTCAAAGAATCTAGACCTCTTGGAAGGCACCTATCAACATTTTTGTGGAAGTGCTAGTGATTTTTAACAGTTTTATAAAATACCTAACAGAATTTTTTTGCATTTAAAAGATAATAAGATCAACTTTTAAAACACAGTATAGAAAAGGGAATTTCTTTTGAACCACACAGACACATAAAAATCATTAAGTTGAATAAGTCCTAGGGAAAATGAATACAGAAGAATTATGAGCAAGAATTTTCAAATATTTATTTATATGTTTAACATTTATTCATGACATGGACCCATCAATCAAACTTGTATTGACTAAGTGACAAACACTTCTCTGGATGTTGTTGAAACAAAGATCAATTAGGCTCACAGCTTGCCTTAAAACATCTCACACTCTAAGAGAGAAGGCAAGAAGGCAGAAACTGAACGAATACCTGTGCAGCTTCAGACAGACATACACATGTGGCCAATACTGCAGTGCTATTGCTCTCACCTTGACTAAATTTTAGAAAGTTTTTTCCCCCCGTCTATAGGGGAAAAAAGTATACAGAGTGGTTTTCGTCATCACCCCCCCGCCCCGCCCCAATTTCCCTCTTTTTAGAGCATTTACTTTAGACAGTAAACTTTCTTTGTACCTGTGCAATTTAGATGAATCTTCTCCCAGCCTGTAGCCGGTTTTACAATCCAGGAATGTTGCTATCAGGGACCTGGGACACATTCCTTTGCATGGTAATCAAGAAAGATAATGCCAATACAATATTGATGACTATAAATACACCAGATGTCTAGCAACTTCACACTTACTATTTTAAGAAAGTAGATCTAATATTAAATATTCTTATTATAGAATTTTTAAAATGAGAGAGAAAGAAGGAAGGAGAGAGAAGAAAGGGGAAAAGGGAAATAAAAGAAACCAGAGAGGGAAAGAGGGAAGAGAGAAAGAAATTGGGAAGGGAAGGAGAAGAAAGTCCTAGGACAGCAGGAGCCTACCTTCAATATGAACCAATTAATGCACACAGATGGCCTCATAACATCACCCAACTCCCAGCAAGGCCTCTCAGTTTAACTAGCTACAGTCAGTATTTAAAAACTCTCCTGCTTTTTGTTTCAGAACAGTTCTGTTTTTCTCCTTTACTGCAATAGTCTAGACTCCAATTGCAACTATCCTGAATAATGATTTCCTTGCCATTTTAAAAAGGTTGTGTGTTATTTTTCTTTAATATATCAAACTACTGCAAAAGACAAAACCTGTGGGACAATAGATAGAGATCTTTTTTCTTTTTCTTTTTAAAAGACAGGGCACCTGAGCTGGAAGGAAATCATGAAAATTCACCACACTGGATGAAGAAGGGGCAGCAGCACTGCATGGGGCTCTGGGGAATGATCTCATATCTCCATTTCTTCATCTGAAATGTTCCTCACAAGGACAGTATTAAAAAAAACCCTAAAATATATACACACTTCATTGCATATCCTCATTTCTTTAATGACAATTTTTTTTAAATTTTCTATCAAGGTCAATAAAAATATTCATACATCCAAGTTTTAAAAGCAAATTTAGAAAATATTTCTATCAGAGCCATCTACTCACCTATTTCTACTTTGATTTCATTGCATTTCAGCACAAATTAGCTTCTATTGAGAAATTTTAAAATGTTGACATGCTTTTTTACTTAATCCTTTGAATCAAAGGAGTGACAGATGACCATTGGCTAAAGGTCAGTTTTGAATCACTGTTATAGGAAACATGCTATTGCTCAAGGTGATCACTCCATCTTAAAGTTGTACACACTTATGGGGAAGAAACTAACAAAAGCTCAATTCTTCTCCTTTTCCTTTTGGGGCAGTCCCCATGAGAGCAGCTGTTCTCTTATTAATGCTGTTAAACATTAGGAATAAACCTCTCTGGGATTATACTGAATAAGGTGACGTAGAAGAAAGTTTGTACCAAATAAATGTGCGTAGATTAGAATCTGCAGGTGGTCTAAAACATGCCTATATTGGGAGCCAAATTGTTCAGCACTGGAACCTTTTGAAATGAGAACAAAGAGCCTTTCATTGCTTAAATTCTAAATGCAGCTTAGTACTTCATTAGAAACCTCTTAGTTCGCTGTAGGAATCTTTCAGATTTAATTATGAGGTGGGGTAAAAGCCTTCATTCCCTAGGACACCATACTGAAACATTTTATTCTGTGTTTCCTGGGAGATCTCCAAGTTTTGCAAATTGCAGAAGTTATCAATGCACATTAAGTTAGTTCTTTTCTGAAATCTAAGTCAGGCCAAATCAAAGTAACTATTTCAGCCAATATGAATGGTGAAATTAAAATTACTAAGAGCCCAAAGCAACGGAGCTAAAAGTGAGAAAAACTGGATTCTTCCTCCTGTTCTATAACCTGGAGATACTGCTTAAATTTCAGAACCTTAGTTTAGCTATATTTAAAATGAGGGAGCTAACTGAAATTCCATTACTCTATGTGGTCAATATTTAGAAATGCTCACATTAATCAACATTTACCTTTTTTTTTTTTTTTTTTGGCTGTGAAGGAATACTTTAAAGATAGTATTTTGAATGCTTCAGTGCCGCTCCACTGGGTGGTGTGTTTTAAATTTTAATGAAAGGTTCCAGTTAAATTTTGAAAGGCATTACAGAATCCACATAATTCTCATTGCTGCTTTAGTGAATTTGATAAAAATGATAAGATCAGAACACTGACATATCAGAATCTGGATGTCAGGATGGTGAACCAGCCCCAGACAAAATGGAAGGAACTATTTGATTTCAGCACTTGCTACCTTAGGTTGATCAGTTGAGTCTCTTATATAAGGTCCTTGTCTGGGTCCTTGCATTCCAGATCCCTGGATTGTTTTTTTTGTTTTTAATGTATCTGAGTTCAAACAGCAACCAGTCAGGGCCCATGGGAAAAAAGCTCTTCCAGAGGCTAAGTGACAAACACCTTCCAATGTCATTCAGTGGAAAAACTGTCTTATTCTTAATGATACAGCAAGCTACTTGGCTCTTTGAAGAGAAAACTAACACATGGTTATTAAATAAATGAATAAATAACTCATGAATTCAAAGTCTTGCCTCTGGGCTCTGAATCCCAAGGCCAACACAAAATTTCTGATGGAAATCTTTTTATAAGCATCACAGAAATATAATAACTTTTACAGAATACAACTTTTGTTGTTTTATAGAAACAGCTTTTTTCTTTTACACTCCATTCTGTACAAAAATTAACAGATAGGATAGGACAAACAATAATCTGGCCCAAAGCCAAATTTGCCTTTCTTCTAAATTGAAAATGACCTCTTCACCTCTGCTGGGTGTGCTGTCAACGGGGGCTTATATACAAGAGGGAAAATTAATCTTTACAACATACAGAGGCTCCTTACTAGATGGTTGAGATGAACTAAGGCAGGTATTATCCTGGCTATGATAAAAATAGGGGAGAAATAATCAGGATGTTTTTTATTGGTAATATTTTAATCATGTCTTTGAAAAATATTAAAGTTGCACTTTGTTCACCTGGGCAGGTCAACAGAAAAACACTTGTGTTCTCCTGAAAGCAGGGGCAGTATCTGCACGCTAGCATTTTAAAGCTCATGAGTTTTACTAATTATGCTATCAGTCACTACTTTTTGTCTCATGGCAAGAGAAATAAGAGAAATAAATAATTTTTTATATTCATTTCATTGAAGTGGATTAGACTGGTTGCATGATGCACCCCAAGCTAAGTAGAGCTGTAGCTTATTTTCATTGTCATTGCCACTCACCTGGTCCAAAGTCATAGACACCCCACTCAGGAAACTACAATGTCCTCTAAACAATACCTACTTCTACTTCTCCCACCTCAACCTAAAAGAATATTCCAAACATGGTAGCTGATGCAATCTGGTTAAAATGTAAGTTGAGTCCACAAAAACTTTTGTCAAAGTCACTGATGATTCACATCTTGGCATAAACACCAGAATCCTTATGGTAACCTACAGAGACTTACCTTCAATTCTTATACTATGTGGCTTCCGGCTGCCTCTGACTTTCTAGTCTCCTGAAGGCTCTTGACCGCCTCAGCCAATCCCACCTCAAGAGCTTTGCACATGTTACTTTCTCCTTTGCTTGAAATCCTTCTTTTCATATATATCCCCATGAATTATTCCTTTACTTCTTTTAGGTCTTCTTTTTCTTTTTTTAAAATTCTCTCTCTTACTCATATTTCCCCTTCCCTGGCTATCTACAATTTTAGAAAAATAAACTTTCTCCACAATATTTCATATGTTCCCATTTTTCCCCTCTAGTATCTATCAGTACCTAACATACTACAAATGTAATGATCTGTGTTGTTAATGTCTGATGACCCCACTAGAGTGCAAGTCTACAAAGCAAGGATTTGCGTAGCTCTAACTTCAGTACCTGGAAGAATGACTGGCACAGAGTGCATGCTCTGTATTTGCTGAATGAAGGAAGGAATGCTATCTCTTACCTTTTCATAGAACTTTCCCTTGACCAAGCCCAGAAAACCTTGTGGTTGGTCTTCATAGTAACAGAAATGCAATTCATTTCTAAACCATTAAGATATCCCAAAGCAAAGGCTTCAACTCTGAATTTTATTTAACTTCATGTCAGAGAATATATCTTTGTGTAATATATACAACCCTGAAGGGAGTTGTCCATTATCAAATCCAGCAGATAATCTCTGGCCTCAAAACATGTAATTTTTGTGAAGCATAAAATTCATCTGAACCTCAGTAAGAAAATAATCCTAGGAAAAACATATTGGAGCTGGATTTTGTAACTTACTTGGAGATTCATTATTTTCACAGGTTTCTTCTTCATTTGTTGCTGCTGCTTCCTCCTCCTCATCTTCTGGGTCATCAGTGTCTCCTGACTCATCGCTATCTTCCACCCATTTTCCTGGCATGAGTCCAGCTGAGTCATAGGAATTGCACAGAGGACCCACAATGTGAGAGATGAAGGATTCCTGAAGATTGGCCAATTGAGGAGCTGACCGATCCATGAAGGGGCTTATGGGCAGCCCAAGGCTGGCTTCCTCATCACCCTAGGAACAGGGAGTTAGCATGAATAGTTAGCTAGAAAGGTGAATGAGAAGAGTCCAAGATACCAAAAAAAGTCAACATTCCCTTGTCATCTAAAATATATAGATATATAAGAGCATGGATATTCATGCTCAACTGACTTTACTTGATGGCTCAGAGATTCTACCCAAATCTCTAAGATTCAGAGAGCAATTCTTTGTTGCTTCCATTAACTAATTTTGTGATGTTGAGCTTTATCACGGAGAAATGAAAGAAGTGGCTTAATATCTCAGCAAATAATATTTCTTATCACACTAGTCAGGGTCCTTTGTAGGAGAATACAAATGCATCTTAAAATGTAATGCTGGGAATGTTACTCTAACAAATATAATCTATCATGTTTTTTCTTTTTGCCTTGGCTACCAGAAAGCTTAAAATAATTTATTGCTCAATTCAAGTTGCTACTTTACCCTAGATTTTGTTTGAATGACATCTTCTGTGATTATGTTTTCTTATTTATTTTATGTTTAATAGTATTAAAGTATATGTGTTTTGTTTTGAACAACTTTAGATCTTCTTGGAAAAAATAACAGATCTTAAACCACAGGTTACCTAGAAAACTTAAGGAAGATAATATATAAAAATATCAATAAAGATTATGCCTAAATAGTACAACTATTATAAGTGGATTTTCCTTTTCCTTCATGCTTTTGTGCATTTATCAAGAAATAATCCTAATCCCAGAAAAGGCAACATACATTTGTTAAAAAATGAACCATTTTATTCTGTATATGAATAATACCCATAATACCCAAAGTTCATTCTAATCCCTGTTTAAACATATCCAATGACAGATATTTATTATAAGGTACCTCACCCTATGATGGGATATCTTTAGTATTATTATTTTCTCTCTGACACCTATCTAAGCTATATCTCCTGAAACTTTTACAGACTGATTAATACACATTTAAGGCAGCAGAGAGGTATTGGACCTTTCTTATGAATCGGATTTGTATTGAGTACTTTTTATAATTTACCATTTTTAATCTTGACACCAACATTATGATAAATCTACTCCTATATTTGTACAGAGCTTTTAAGACATCTGAAGACAATCACTCCATTACCTCTGTTGCTTCTCTGTTCATGCTATTTCATGTCACTGGTTCCTGTCCTTCACCCATGATCCCTCACCTCCACATTTTCTTAAGTGAGAAATTCACAACAATGGACAGAAAGCTTCAAGCTTAATCTGGTCAACGCAGGGTAACCTGGGCAGTATTGCACCACACTTATGTTATTATGGGGTCTTTTCTGGTAGTCTATTAACTCTCCTTGTTATATCTAACAGAATGCCAATATTTTAGCTTTTATGCACTATTGTTATTAACTATATCGTAAAAGTAAATGAACTTAATGTATTATATATTCCTCCAAACTTAAACTAGCTTTTTATTATACTAAATCTACTGAAAAACAGTATTTCAAGGGTCTTTCTAATGTTTACTAGGTAATTCAATTATTTCAACATCTTTTCCCCAAACGCCATAAATAACTTTGATTTAGAATTCTATGGGTATAGTTTAGTCTTTTTTATGTGTCAGTTTTAAACTGCTATTCAAAACAGGGCAGGTTTTTGTTTGTTTGTTTGTTTTTAATAAAAGCATGATATAAAAGAGAGTGATCATACTTCCTAGCAGCCTTTCAGAAGCTTTGGTGAATGAACAAGCAGCCTAAAAGTGTAGGTTTGGATAGATGAAATGGTTCAAGTAGTTACCTGTTCATAAAATTCATTGACAATACCCTCTGTCCATTGAAGATGGAGTTCTTTACATTTGGCTGGTCCATTAATATCGGCCAACTTTATACACATTTGACAAACCAATAGACGATCATTTTCATTAGTCCAATCTATTCCAACATCATCATTCACCTGTTTAAAGGATACAGTTAAAATGATTTACCTCAAGCAAAGCAAAAATTGAACAGGAGGAAAAAAAGCAATAGAATACACATATCTTTCTACTATGTAGAGATCAGAATACCAAATAATTAGGAACTGAGATTTTTTTAAATAATGTTATTGGGAATGGGGATATAGCTCAAGAGTAAGACAATGGCTTCCAGAAATAGTAAAATAGTTAATCAAAAAAGTAAAATAATGAACAATGAAATTGATAATAAGTGCTATTTAAAATCAGCATATTTATTGCCAGTAAAATATTATAGTTACAAATGATTAAAAAAGTTATCTTTAAGTAATATTTAGGCATTTATATTCGCATGACATCTTTTATATCAAGTTTTTGGCCTATGTTACTACCATATAATTCATATGTAATTATATCATAGACAGAAGAGAAAGTTAAACAAAAATCACACCTCTAATGTATTATTTCTCTGTAGAACAAAGTATAATACATTACATAGAGACTTAACTCCCAAGATAGCTAGATTCAGACCACTACCTTCTATTTCCGCTGTGGTAAAAATGTTACTGGATTTCATTTTCCCAATTGATACATAAGAATTGATGGAGTTTTGTTCAACAGTTTGTTTCTATGACATCTTTCCCTATGGCCATAAAATGAAGACTGATACAAATGTAGTTACCTTGGCATTAAATTTGGCTACAAAGTCAAAGTGTTTCTTCAGGTCAGTGGCTAAAATTGCTTCGATGACAAGGAAACGGAAGTGCTTGAATTCTACATGGTCAAGGTTAACTAGAAAGTTATACTCTGGTCGGGACATGAAAAGATTCCAAGCTGCAGCTGCATGATGATTCTCCAGAACTGAACGATCGTTGTATAGCACCGCCTGGGCAAGAGTGGGAGAGTAAGAGTTCAAGAGATCAGTGGGTAAGTTTAAAAAAGAATCACAAAAATAAAGGAGAATATGCGATGCTTCTGAAATAGCTTTTTGTTTGTTTTTCGTGGAAAAGCAAAAAAGAAAATGTGTTTTGAGTGCTGGTTATTAAGAATCATTTACTACTGATAATCTTGACTGTTGATTCCTTTTCTTGGTTAAATATGCTTTTCAGTCATGTTAAGTTCTTTTCCTTGAAACTTTTGCCCAAACAATCACAAGTGAGGGGTAGTAGCCTATCTTAATAGAGTCAGCATTCCTTAAAATGTTTTTTTTTTTTTTTTTAGATTTCTTTGCAGGGCACAGGAATTTATCATATACATATATTTGTAAGTTTAAACAGACACGTATCTTTGTACACATACGTATATATACATATACCAATTATCCCTATAAGGTAACTCGGTTACTTTCTGTATCAGGCAACAGAATTACTTCCTCTTAAACATATGCAACTAGTGAAGAGGAATGAAATCCCAGGGGTGCCTCAACCTAAAACATTTTTACCCATAATCAGCCATGGGAAATATCTAGTAATTAAAGATACAAATATACATCTGCTTGTTTTGGAAATCTCTAATAATGAGAAGTTGTAAGAAAAAAGAGAAGTTGCCTTAAAAAAATGCTTGAACACTAGTGTGAGAGACAGTGTACAAAGGGAAGAAAAGATATAGGACTGGGAAAGGCTAAGCACATAAATATCCAGGTTAAGGTGAGTAAGACAGACCTGTAGGAAAATCTGAAGAGTAAACTATGCTGGCAAGAGGATTTCCCCATCTTTAGGGAAACTAATTCTGGTGTATGAAGGGTATGCGGAAAGAAGATAAAGTAGGTAGTTGGGGGGGAAAACATGGTTGTTCTTGTATATAGATTCAAGAAAAATCATGGAATAGTCCAGAAAAACTATTGGGGAAATGGATGACAGTCAGATAAAAGACAAAAGGCAAACAAGGAAACACAGGATTAGGCTGGCCTCTAGCTCCTCTTGGAGGCACAGAGGACCTCAGGATGTTTGGTAACTTGAGTCAACTGTTTATAAATAGAGGGGGAAATGATTGGGCTTAATTGTATAAGTGAAGATGCCTAGATATTTAGTGATTAATTTTTGACTCAAACACACCAAGATGACTTTCTAATGCTATTCATTTTTGCAATCTATGCTTAGGTAAAAAAAAAAAATCCTTCAAACAAATGGAATAAACTGATATTAAATTCCTACCAGCCAGTTGATAGGCCTTAAGAATTCACAGTTGTTATCATGAATATATTTCCAAGGACTAAGATTTGTATACAAAGAGGCCTTACATTCTTAAAAGTTCAAGAAGATTTGGTTTCTCTAATCTTTTCAGAAAGGGGCATTTGCATAGGTTGCCTTTTGTTGTTGTTGAAGAGGTTCATTAGCATGGATTCAACTAGATTTTTCTTCTTCAGAAGAAAACTAGAAAGGATTCTTATGCATAATAAAGTTATGTACCACCATGAAGACTTTGGAACAAACAATGATTTTGTGTGTGTGTGTGTGTGTGTGTGTGTGTGTGTGTGTGTATGAATATCTTGGAACAATGATTTTTTTTTCAAAATCAATATGATCTTTAAGAATTTTATCCTATGAATAAGTATAATTTGATTATGTTTACTTGGTATAAGCCAAATGTATAAAATTAATTTTCTTCAGAGAAAGCTCTACACTGGATTAGCTCTCCTAATCAAAATCTAAAGATTTACCTGAGGGGCACTAGTGGCCACCAGGAAAGCATTAGTCCTTCCCGGGTGATCATAATCGTGCATGGCTGCAGCAACATACAGAGCCATGAGCTCTAAGGCAGGAATATTCCCCGACAGACATCCATACTTATCATCTGGCACATTATACATTTTTGAAAATACATATCCCATATGTCCATGTGTAAATCCACTGTCAGAATCTGAGAAGAGAAAAATTAAAGTAATAGAAATTTTTAAAACCTATGGAACTGAAAATATTTGTTTTGACTTCCTTATTATAAAACCATGTGTTCCTATCTGGCACAAGGGAGCGCAGAGGTGCTGGATACATACCTGAATCACTTGCTGATCCGTGATCATTAATCACAGTTGAGAGGCCTGGAATAGGTTGGGTAGTAAGATACCAAACAGCATGTAGCACATCAGTGGCATGGACTCTGTTGTGATCTGTAACCAATGCAAAGGAACTGTCATCGGCTGGTGAACTTTGGGGACCAAGGACTAAGAGTGCCATCTACTGGATAAACAGCTTGGTCCTCGCTTAACACCCCAGTGAATGCCTGCTATACTCTCTCAAATCTTTTTGATTACTCTTCCACAACTCCCTAGTATGCTTTCTAATAAGAAAAAAACAATACTCATTGCATCCAGTACGCATGATATTCAAAATGGAAAAATTTGTATCTAGAGTCTATCAGAAACCTACTACACGAAACTTACTACACAAAACAACTGCAGTGTTTTCTTTTCATCCTCTGTGTGAGGCCAAGCAGAGAGTCAAAGCAAAAGAAAGAGCCTTGATAGACTTTAAGCAGATCACATTACAATTCATAACTGACAAATGGAAACCCAGATTTAATCTGTGAATAGAATGAGGGTTCCCATTATTTTCCTATATCTCTGGCAACACTGAGGTATCTGTCTTGAAGTGATGACATACTGCTAAATCATAGGTAAACACCCCAGAAATTAAATCCAGGGGCCTGGGTTTGGGCTTGAGAAGATCTCCCCAGGAGAGCTTTCCTAGAGTTTGCCTCCCCAGACTCCCAAGAAGGAAAGAACAAAACCTGTGCCCTTGTGTCATTGCTGGATGTGAACAGTGGTATTGAAAAGTCATCCAAGAGCAGTTTTATTAAGATTAGAGCCCGTATACCTGAACATAGATTATCTTCAATGATACAAGCCCATTACATTTATAGATAACTTACAGATAAGACAATTACTATCAGTTTATGTCTGTACCTATGCCATGCAGAGTTGATCATACTAGAATTTTCTGGATTTTGGACAGATATGGATTTGTCTTCTGCTCTGATATTTATTACCCACATTATATGGGGTAAGTTACTCAAAACTCATTTTCTTATCATGAAATCAAGATACATTTTAAAGATCTCATTTTCTTTTCTTAAAAAATGTGGGGATAATAGTGCCAATTTCATCATACAATTCTGAGAATCACAGAAGGGACTATGTGTTAACAATGCCAATACACAGTAAGCTACCATCCTATCAGATGAGTCTCCTGGAGGAGGAAATATTAATGATAAATATTAATGATCAATATTATCCCCAAACAAAATGTTTTTGATGTAGAACAAGACAGCAAATGTGCAGTTCACTGGCTTTCTCCCACAATTAATGATGGATTTGTAAAAACAAAACAAAAAGACAAAGAATTGAATTGTTCAAATAATAGCTGTTCTAAGTGCTTGGGGAGGTAGGAGACTGTGATAATCTGGTAGAGGAAGAATGTCACTTGGGAGAGAGGGTGCCACTGTTTGGAGCAAACTTCTCAATTTCCTTTCCTGTTGCAACTGAAGAGATGACTGCATGCAAGGTGGTACCATTCCTGCTGCAAGTCATATAGCCTGTGCATGAGCCCAGCATTGCAAGGGAGGATAGGAACAGCATAGGCAGAGCCTTCTGGGTCATACTGCCCCCTCTCCTATCCTGTCTACCTCAAGAGCCAGGCCTGGAAGATTTCATGGGTCATTTTTACAAAATTTTGATGAACAAACAATCTCATCTTAATGATTTGCTTCTGTAAGTGTAAAGAGAAGGAAAGCTGCCAAACTCATTTTATGAGAACAGGTCCAGCATATGAGGAAAAAAAAAAAAAAAAAAAAAAAAGAAGGACTCCTTTTGTTTTCTGAGAATAGGTCCAAAAGTAGTAAATAAAACAATAGCTTACCAAATCTAACTGCTTAAACACACATGTCTAGTTATATATGCATATTTCTAGGAGGATTACTCTGTCTTCAATCGTGTAAGCAGAAAGGAAAACCATCTGCCTTGTCAGCAGTTAATGACACGTTTGCCAAACAGATATTTACTTAGATATGTACTATGTCCAAGTATTATGCCAAGTGCTTCTATCTCTATTGCCTTTGCATTAACTCTCTGGTGACCCAGCTCAGAAGCAAGAGCACCTAGGAAAAAAGCTAGCCAGGTCAACCTAAGACATTGAGAGGTTTTCATGTAATATATGAATGTGCTCAAAGGGTTCTTTTTATTTGTTCTGGCCATAGCCAGGAACTGAAAGTGATTTTTTAAAAAAAAGGCGATCCTCAGGGTTATACAAAATGTCATTTAAGAGGTAAGGAGGGGTAAGTCAAGAGAATACAAATGGAAGACATGATTTACAGTAGAAGGGGTAGAGAGAGAAAAGGGGAGGGGAGGGGAGGGGAGGGGAGGGGRGGGGGGATAGTAGACAATAGGACAGACAGCAGAATACATCAGACACTAGAAAGGCAATATGTCAATCAATGGAAGGGWAACTGATGTGATACAGCAATTTGTATACGGGGTAAAAGCGGGAGTTCATAATCCACTTGAATCAAACCGTGTAATATGATGTATTAAGAACTATGTAATGTTATGAACGACCAATAAAAAAATAAATAAAAAAAAATAAAAAAAAAGATTAATAGGACTATTTTTATTTCACCCTTTTTATCATCCTTATCATTTCATTTCTGCATTTTGGACCAATCCCTAAAACTCTAGTAATTCCCACACCTATGTGGCAAGACGCCCTCCTTCCTTGACAAACACACAAGTACACGCTAACATGTAATACACATCCTGCCACCTTTCTAGAGTTGGCCATCTCCCTCTTCTACCTTGATATTTTTCAACTTCCTCCATAAACTAAAAAGCAGAGTTGACCTGAACTAGTGGAGGGGTTGGGGTTGTATGTCAATTTTATAGATTATAGAACCAAGTTTATAGATTTTTTAACTGAAAATTCTATCTGTGCTTCTATGTACCATAAAGAAAAGGAAAGTAGTAATGAATAGAAACAACATTTTTAAATTTTTTTATTTCTTGAAATACTATGGGATTGAACCCAGGGGTGCTCTACCATTCAGTTACATCCCCAGCCTTTTTTATTTTGCAACTGGGTCTTGCTAAGTTGTGGAGACTGGCCTCAAACTTGTGATCTTTCTGCCTTGGCCTCCTGAGTAGCTGCAATTACAGGTGTACACCACCATGCCTGGCTGAAAGCACACTTAGAGCAGTTTTTTTTTTTCCCCCCACTTTGGAATGTATCTATACTATAATAGTTTTGCCCTTCCAGTTTGTTTCATGTCACCTCAGCATCTAACTGATCAGTGGGTCCTTCACTTGTGGCTGAACTGAACTGAGTTAACACAGGCCGACTCTGCTCTCACTACTGACATTAATAGCTCCATGACCATAGGCACTTCTGAGCCATTCCATTCTCCACACTTCTCAAACTGGAACAATAAGAATGAGAAGATTCAACAAAGAAAAAAAAATCTATTATAGAGAGGAAAGTCTTTGCAATCAGAAAAAGCATCCTAAAAACAAACAAACAACAACAAAAATCCCCAAACCTTTGGATCTTTGAAGGGGCATGACTTGATGATTATCTTCTTTAGTAGCCAAAATGCCCAGGTGAAAAGGATTATGAATATTACCAAATATTATTATTTACCTCCCTGTACAAATGAGTATCAACCATGCTTCACTTGTGCTAATAGTTTATGCTAAAAGATGTGAAAAATTACATTTATATCAGTGAGTTGACTATATTTATGGCTTTCTCCAGTGCCACTTCATAGTTTTTCTTCCCTATTTCCTTCTCACATCTGCTTCCAGATTATTCAATTTTTAGTCAAAATTTAAAATGTAGGGGCTGGGGATGTGGCTCAAGCAGTAGCACGCTCGCCTGGCATGCATGCGGCCCGGGTTTGATCCTCAGCACCACATACCACATACAAAGATGTTGTGTCCGCCGAAAACTAAAAAATAAATATTAAAAAAATTCTCTCTCTCTCACTCTCTCTTTAAAAAAAAATAAATAAAAAATAAATAAAATGTAAAAGCATTTACACTTTCCCTTGTCTCTTGAAAATTTTAAAAGGTGTGCTTAGCATTATGATAAAAAATCAGTTTCTAATATTTTCATTAATTATCCTATTAAAGTGAACACATTTCTATTTTAACTTTGGTTCCTAGTTTTTTATTATTTATGGATTTATTTAAATAGAGCCATTATAAATATAATTATTTAATAGCAAATGTTAAAATAATTAGCTAAAGAGCAAATTTTTGTATGTGCTAATTAAAACAAATACGTAAAGCTCTTACTAAATACCATATTAGTCTTAAAGTATAACCCCAGCCCATAAAAGTGATCACCAATCAAAATCTTTCCTGAGAAATGTAAATAAATTTCTTTATAAAAAGTGTCTGGGACTTCTATAGCACAAGTAAGTTTATTCTCGCAATGTCTTTTGATACGGAATGCAGAACTTTCTATCACATAAAAAATTCATTTGTAGCACATAAAAGTACAATAAGAAAATTAAACTGAATAATAGACTACATAATCTGAAAATTTCTTGTACTTGAATACTGGCCATTCTTCACTATCATTTAATGATACATGACTTAGAGAAAAATTGGGAGTTATTTTATCTGTGGAGTCTAATATCAATTCAGATTCAATAAAACTTGGCGAAGACTAATAGTATCACTAATATGTATTTGAAAATACAACATTTATTTAAAAATTCAGTCTGTTGACTAGCTGTTCTTAGTGCTTTCCGTGGCTTCATTTCTGTAAAAGTTTATTTACATAACTCCTTGACTTTAAGAAATCCCTAACACTTATGTCAATCACTGGCATCCAACCAGGGTGAGCCTTTGGGAAACTGTACTAAGAAAGGTTTATCTCAAGATGCCTTCAAACAATCCTCTCTCATCATTCTCTTCCAACTTCTACAGACTCATCAGCCAGACTTTCTCAAGGGGTCTAGTGTTGTTCTTTCTTCTACTCCACTATCCTACTTTTTCTGCATTAGTTGCTAATGATTCAATATACTAACACCCACAGCAAATTTGACAGCATTATTCCACAAACCATTTATACTTACAAGGAATATCCCTGTATCCAATCTCCAAAGCATGAAAATAATTCATAAATTCTCTAATTGGAATTTTAAAAGCTTCAAAGAGACCCATATCTTCAAAAAGTCTGTATGATACCTGTAGAACAGAAAGACAAAACCTTGCAAAACATCCCTCAGTGAGTTAGACTTAAGGAGAACAAAGCATGCATTCCATCAACAATATTAATTTATTACCAATAGAGAAACCGCCTGGGGATAATAAATCAAGTTCACATGGAGGACTTTTATGTGCTGAGCCCTGCAGTTCCTTACAACAAGGGATATGTCACCTAGATTTAAGAGCAAAGACTATGCATGCATCCAAAAACCTTCAAAGATCCCTAGTATACACTAAAGTAATACACTAAGCCAACAAAGTGAGTGGATATTGGTAAACAGGAAATGATGCATACTAAGTGGCTGATGGCATAATGTACACAGTAAGAACTAAAGGGTGAGATAAGCTTTAACTTTGGTGAATTATGTTTAATAATAATAATGATTATGATAATAATAATAAGCATCAGCAGAAAGCTTTTCAGAGATAAAGCATTCACAGTTGTGCCCTGGTGAAGAATAAAGAGAAAGAATTACGGGGGAGAGCAAAAGGGTAGCTTTGATTAATACAGGTGGAGGGAAATGATTTATTATATAATTCATTATGGAAAACGGAGTGTAGCTCTTTTCTTTCACTGATCTTTTCTCTTTGTTCTTCAAATATCTATTTTCCTTCCAGTTGTTTTCACAGTTCTGAGGACTCACATCAAGTAAATACCTTTGGAAATAATTAGTGCATACGACATGCAAAAGATAGAGAAAGAAAAAAAACCTAATATGGAGTAGAAGGTGGCAATGAAGACACACATGGTCATTTATGTGGCAGAATGGAGGACAGAACCATCCCAAATGGCCTTACTCTTTGACTCAAAGTCCTAGTGTGGGACAATTTAGGACATGTTCAGAAAGAATTATTCATTCTTTTTATTACCTACAGTCCTTCTTAAAATTCGTTTGAGATATTACTTCTAAATCTTCAATATATTACTTCATATTGAATCTTTTCTTACTGTAAGTATGTCTATTCAAATTCACTACTATTCTTCTAATTGTATATTCAGTAGTTATGAATCATATACATTATACCTGTATATATACATATACACAAATACTATAAAATATTTATAAATATTTATAAAATATAAAATATGTATAAATATATATTTCCAATATTTATTTATTGAATGCCTATTATATGCCAATTTTCTAGGCCTGTAGCATATATGTATGTGATACTAATATGCAAAATGCATAAACATATATGTATATACATTTAAATTCACATACACACACAAATAAAGATCTCCTCTTTCTTGGAGCTTATAGCCTAGCAGAGGAGGAAGCAATAGACATAACAAATATGTTATTACCATGTCAGAAAGTGGTAAGTCACATGAAGAAAAGAAAAAGAGTAGGTATGAAGAACTGGGAAGACAGAACAGGTGCTTTCAAATATGGTGCTTAGACTGGGCAGAATCACATTCACAAATTGCCTTTTGAGCAAAGAATTGAAGGAGGTGTGGAATGAGACACATGTATACCTGAGAAAAGTTTTTTCTATGTAAAGTGTCAGTACAAAGACCCGGAAGTATGCTCACTAGACCTAAGAAACAGCAAGCAGGTTGGTATGCCCAAAACATAGAAACCGAGGACAGGAATAAAACAGAAGTCCCATAGGGTGAGACTGGTGCAGGGACCGTCTTAGTGACTTACAGCCAGATAAACCCAGGTAAGCACTTTTAATAAGTGAGGCAAGGAGTCACCAAAGAGACTGGAGAAGTGAAAAGACTTGGTCTTAATTTTAAAAGGAACACCCTGCCTGCATTTGAGGAAAAGATTGGATATTACTGTATACAATCTTCAATTCAATTTCTGCTGACTTTTCTCCACTCTGAATGACAAGGACATTTAACTTTTTTCCTTTTCTGTGTAACAACTCTACATTCTTTCTTTAAAAATGCAACAGCAGTTTTGTTGTACAATATTCCAAGCTATTTCTTCTTTTAGTGATCTCTTCTGCACTACTGCTTAGATGATAATGTTCTTTATTTATGAGTTCAGAATTAGCATATGTAAAATTATGAATGGTTGTTTTGAACAGCTTGTTGGTGAAAATTCTTCTGTTTTAAAATCACACTTTAAAATATACTTGTCTTAATTTTTCATTTTATCTTTGAAATGTTTTCTTGTTTATAAGCATAGAAGGGATTTAACTATGCATGTGACTTTAATAGTAATAGCAGCAAGAGTAGCAGCAATAGCTACAACACACACACACATACACATACACACACACACACACTCACACACATACAGCATTAAATGAGGAGCTTGCTTTAAGGAGTTTATACAAATAATTATTTACATTAAATCAATCATCTAGCACTAACTACTAATATCTGAAAGCCAAGAAAAATAATGTACAGAAAGGATGAGTGACTTGTCCAAGATTACCTGGTTGATAGATAAGACCCACACAGATAGATAAACCACACATTTTGGTTTGAGATTTTGTACTCTTAACTGCTTCAAATCCTAACACCCAACCACTGCCCTTATACTGGGAAACCAACACTGTTAGAATTGCAAATTAAAGTTTCCTATGGTTCCCTTTAAACATTTCAAAGATAAAATGAAAAATTAAGACCAGAGGATATTTTAAAGTATGATTTTAAAACAGGAGAATTTTCAGCAACAAGTTACTAAAAACAACCATTCATAATTTTATATATGGTAAGTCCAAACTCATAAATAAAGAACATTATTGACTGGGTAAATATTGGTAACTGAAAAGAGTAAACTCAATTTCAAAATCTGAAAAATGTCCTTTTAAATTTGTTAGAATAAACATGATAATCTTCATCAAAAGAGAAGCAGTGTATTAAGGCTGAGAAGTTGTTTCCATTGCACACATCTCCTTAAAAATCTTTTGAAGTGAGACTTTCTGTGTGTAGTCTCAGCCAAAAGGTGATTTTTTGGAATGTCCATGTTAATTCATTTCAGCTGTCCTTACATCACACTACTAGGGGCAGGGAGGGAGGAAGATGGAAAGAAGAAAAAGAAGAAGTCTTTCCTGTAATCAAAGTTTCAGGATTTTTGAACTTGTAAACTTAAGAAAAAAAATCATAAAGTTCTACTTAGCAAGGCAGAGGAATCTGCACTTTCTCAAASTTCAGTGTTTTTGCAAACTGGGACAGTAGTAACTGATGTAAATTCTGATAAAAAGATACATAAATGAATTTTGTTGAAATCTACATGTTAATTACCCGGAATCTTTCTAATCTCTAGTGGTATCTTTGACACTTGAAAACTACTTTGTCAGAGTTGGGGGGAGCTCAGTGGTAAAGCATGTGTTTACTTATGGCAAGACCCTCAGCACTGTAAAAAAAAAGGAAAGCACTTGAACAATACTGGTCAAGTTCGAACCTCAGATGTCTCCAGCTCTGAGAACTTTAAGCACCTGCACTGATGTTCAGTATGCTGTCACAAATGCTATAAAACTGACTGCTGTAATAACCATTTGTCTGCTTGTCAGACTCCCACTTTGGAGAGAGATAATAAATTAATATGCTTTACAAGTTGCTGAGAAGAACCTGAATGTAAAAAATTCCAAGGTTCTGATATGAATAAATCCACATATTTACTCTATGACTCTGAAACATCCTCTTTCAAGACTTAGTTTCTTCCTCTTCTGTAAAATAGAGATTAAAAAAAAAAAATCCTGCACCAAATTGACGATGATTCAAGAGTTTGTAACACACCTATCAAACACCAAATGATGCAAAAGTTGTCTCCGTAGCTGGAAACACAATCTCCAACCAAAAAAGAGGAAGATGACTTCTTGAACCTCTGCAATATCTTGTGGCAACATTATAGGAAGGACCCCTCACTCAGGGTTGGAACTGCAATCGGTTTCAGAAAATGGCATACAAAATGTCCTGGGAGTTATAAGGCTACTGTGGACCAGATGAAAAAGCTGTCCTTGAACCTGACCTCAAGATAAGGAGCATGGAGGACATTGCTGAGCACTCAGGAGAAAGGAAGTTGATGGAAGGGACATACAACTCCCAGGAAAAGCCAAGGACTGCCATGAAGTCCCTGACACCTTCATGGTCAGGGTCCAGCAGAAGCCACAGCTGCACATTGCATAGACTGGAATAATTTTGAGTTTCTAGTCCATCTATGAGTCCAGCACACCCCTTCTGCATGCACCTAATGGATCTGCCATTATTTTGATACCTCTTCCTTACTAGATTGTGAATTCCATCAGGGCAAGGAAAATCTTCTCTCCCTGAAGACTAGATTAGTTCTCTGTACAAAGTTTAGTTGTTTTAATATTTCTGCTATTATATTTATCCATATCTATATTTTAAATAAGCTGGTAAGTTACTGAATCGTGCCCTTTAAAATTGTGTATATTTTGGTAGGTATTTGGTACTTGAGCAAATTCATCCCTTTGTTTTGGTTTTTGAAAAAAACCTGTCCAAATTCTTAATTTCGGTGTGTTTTCTTTCTCCCTCAGCAAAACAAACATTTATTTGGGAAACTTCAAAAGTAGCATAGCTTAAAGGAAACAATACTAAAAGATTTGTTATACAGTAACATTACGCCTTCTATATTTCTTGTGATAAAAGGTTTTTTGATGTTCAAATACAGAGAACTACATTCGATGTATTTCTTACAATACAGAGACACATTTCTGTATAATATTTTATTTTTGATGAGAACTAACCAGGGTAATATATTGAGAAGTTAAAAAATAGTCACAAAAAGTAATCATAGAAAATAAATTAGTGTTTGTCAATAGATATTTTCTTTGGGGGCTTGAATCACCTATTATTTTGCTTAACTCTATGAATTTTATCAATGTGTCCATCTTGCTTATGATTCCCCATCCTCCTTCCCCTAATTCCTCTTTAAAAGGTACATAAAACTTTAATTGTAGAATATGGTATTCTGCTCAATGGAAGTTCCCATTTCTTTTGTTAGCCCACTGTAACAGATTGTAGTGTCCTCAAACTTCCTTTGTCAGAGCTGGGCGCTGTGGCACATGCCTGTAATCCCAGCGGCTCCAGAGACTGAGGTAGGAGGACTGAAAGTTCAAGTCAGCCTCAGCAACTCATGAGCCCCTCTCTCTAAATAAAAGATAAATAAACAGGTTGGGAATGTGGCTCAGTGGTTAAGCACACTTGGGTTCAATCCCTGGTACCAGAACAAACAAACAAACAAACAGAAATACTTCCTTTGTCCATATAACACATACCCACAGATGTTAAGAAGATACAATGCTTTCAGCAACTGAAGGATTGTGTGGCTGATATTCAAAGTCAAATGTGTGAATAAATTTTCTTACCTGACTAAGGATACGGCCACATTTTCTTCCTATATTTTCCACTAAATCAAAAATTGGAAAATTCCAACTATTGAGCTGCTCCATAATTGAGTCCAGGTTCTCCATGACTAGAGGTTCGGGAGCAAGAATTGGTTTGTCCTATAATGAAGGTTAAAATATTTTAATGACATGAAGATTTCTACAAAACAATGCATGCTTTGGTGAATCCCATTAACAACTGAGTTATCTGAAATAACTGGCCTAAAACTTCACAGTGAATCTTAAAGACAACAATGACAAATCAAGATGGGCAAAACATTGGCCCCAGAGTGAAGAGAAAAGAATCTAATGTGGTTTTGGACTGTGAATCTTACATGGCGAGGTGCCTGCCTGTCCCTGCTCCATATCACACCTGCAAAACATGGATGATTCTTCCACAAGTCAAAGTAATTGCTTTTGCATCTATGCAAGGTTCTTTGATAAAGACTCAATGACTTCAGAATACTCTGAAATTTTATATAAACATATCTTTTTCTATTCTTGTATAAGTTTTCATGGGATAAAGGTTGCTGGCTCATATTGGACTCTCAAGAGAAACCCATGAGTGGGGAGGGGGCCGCTAATCACCCCTACTTAATTAATTGAATATACATAGCAATGCTTCAAATCAGTATTAATCCTGTAGAATTCCAGTTCCTGCATTTTTAAAGTATTTTAATTTAATTATGTGACCTACTATTTGCTGAGAAAAATGCACTACATAAATGGAAAGACACTTTATGACTGGACCCAAATCAGGACAGTCATAAGCCTACATTTACTGCCCTCTCCCCAAGAAACATAAGGAAAATACTATTTTACCTGAAAAATTGACTCTAAAATATAAGTGGTAAATATAGGAAAAGAAAAATGATGGCAGTAGTTGATGATCATGTGACAGCCAATTATTTTCTGGCATTTGTTGTCTCCCGCAAATTAATCTGACTCAAATATGCTTCCAACCTTCTTATATAAATCTCTTCAAACACACAAAATAAGTCATCATTTAAGAATCTCTTAGCAAGTGTCAATATAAATCTTCCTTACTAGAACAAGGAAAATAAATAGCAGCTCTCTTCCAAAATCAAGGAGGTGCTGAAGAAAAAAAACAGCAGATGTACTAAGAAAATCTCTTCCTGTATTTCCTTATTTCTTTATAAAATATTTAACTAAATGACATAATTCATTTTTCCTGTGCTGATTTAGACTACTTGACTGGGTATGAAATCTCTACAATTATTTATAAAGATAAATGCTTTGCACTTTTCACCACCAAATATTACAACCATAAAGAGATCAATAGGCTCAGCTGGAGACATTGTACTGATATCCATGGGTAGGGCCACAACATGTGAGGTCCAAATGAGATGCATCTATAAATCTAATGATTCAGGGAACTACTTCTAAGCCAATCTCCTCTGTAACTGAAGCCAGTTTCTCAAGTAAATGGATGAGTTGAGTGATAAGGAGCTACCAGGAATATCATGGCCTCTGGAGGGTAGGTGCCACAAGCTGATGTTTTCCTCAGTGGCTCTGTTGGGCATTCGGCCTCATCTTCATTCTGTACAATGTCGCTGCTGTCACTGTTGTTATTGGTTTCATAATCAGAGGTAACTTGGGCAGTGTCATCTGCAATGAAAAGAGAACAGCTTACCATGGGACCTGCAATGGGGGAAGGGGTCTCATGTAACAAAATTTCCTAAGATTCATCTCCATATGCCATAACATTTAGGGGAATATTGTTTTCAGGTACTCACATACCAGGATCATAAAGTAAGAAAAGGACAGGTTTCACCCCAATAAAATAGATAGGAAATATAATCTGTGCTTTATGTGACATTCAATAATCCTTCAATAATATTTTTTAGACCAGTACTTTGTATTTTTTTAAAAATCCTCAGACTTTATATTTCAGTTTCCTCTTTTTTTCTCCCAATACAGTAAACCACTAAGTAGCTAACTGATACACTAATTCTAGAATGGTGACTCAGGTGGGAGAAAYTGAGCGGCACGCCTAGGAATGGTGGATAGAACATGAAGCAACGGAATGTGGTTAGGAGCATGGCAGACCCTATGTATCCAATCTTATTTCTTAGGAGGCTTTGRCTTCCTTCCTCCACTGCCACAAACTGTGCTGATAGAATGACTAACCAGAAAATACCAAGTATCTAGAGGACATGCTCCTGGGACAARGAGATCAATAATTTTCTAGGAGCTGAATGAAGTTTACTAAGTGCTTGCTACGTGCTAGGTACGGCTCAAAGCATTTGATTTTKTACTAACACATTTAATTTTCTCAACAATCCCATGGGGAAAGTATAGGATTGTATTACTATTATCTCTACTTTTCAGATATGAAACAGAGGAAAAGAAAAAATTAGTAAATTGCTTACACTCACAGTCAATAAATTCTGCCACTAGAATTTGAGCTCGGGAAATCTGATTCTATATAGAGTTTATACTTGGTTTTTGATTAAGTCTAGCTTTGGTTTCTTTTGTGATTTCCCTGGTCTATAAAATCTCTGTCTTCTCCAAAATCACAAAGATTTGTTCCAGTTTTATTCCTAAAGCTTTATCATTTTCAGCTTTTAAGTTTAGGTCGGTGCTCCACTTAAAAGGTGTTTTTACATGGTGTGAGATAAAAGGTAAAGTTCATTTTCCTCCCAAACACATTTGGATTGCTTGACATCTTTGTAGAAAAATCAAATGACCATGCAGGTCTGGGTCTATTTTGATGATTTTTGGTTTAGTCCATTTGATTTGCTTGCTGACTCTTGGGTCAATAACCACACTCTCTTAATGACTATAGCTTAAGTCTTGAAGTCAAGGGAAGTGTACCTCCCTCAAACTTTGTTCTCCTTTGTCAAGATTGCTTTATGTAGTCTAGGTTTGTTGTGTGTCTTTATACATATAGTAACTGATTTTTCTTAAATTGCAAGTGAATAATGACTGTTGTTCTAGAGCCTGTTCTAGTCAGAAATATATTTACAGAATTTTCCCAAAGACTCATCTTTCTTCTTTCCCATGCATCTGCTTTTATGTTAAAATTAGATACTGTATGAAGCTTGTCTTAAAATAAAAAAAAATCAAAAGGGCTGGGCATGTGGCTGAGTGACTAAGTTCCCCTGGGTTCAATCCCTGGTACTAAAAAAAGCACTTAGGTACAGTATGAAAATGTAATTGACAAGGTTCAATTCCAGAATCTATATAAAAAATGAAGAAGCCACATTCAAGAGACCACAAAGGTAAAATATTTCCCTTATTCTATCAGCCCCAATAGAATTAGAGGAAGATCAGGAACACACAAAGTATTCTGAGTCCTCATAGTGCTCCACTATCAAACAAGCACTGCACAGAGAATTTTCCACTGGTTTCTCCTTCCCTATGCCTCTCCCCCTTTGTATACAGCACAATATTATCATAGAAAAATTATATCACTCAATATTTATTGAGTGGCTACCAAGAAATGCTGGAACAGATAACTGATAATTATGAGATAGCTTTATTACCCTAAAGTCTATAATTCATAGACATTTCCAACTTTGTGTACTTTTAGGACTGTATGAACAAAAATAAAAAATAATCATTATAGTAATTACCAGCAAACACTAACCACTTATGGTGAACCAGATGATATAATAAGTAATAAATGTTTCATCTCCTTTAATTAATTTCTTAGTCTTCTGTGGTAGGTACTATTGGTATTCTAGTATTCTGCAGTTAAGGAACTAGATCTAGATTATCAGTAAGCAGGTTACAGAATCGGGGTATGAACCAGGATGCAATACCCATCTTCTCATCCTCTCCATAATACCTCCTCAAGGAAAACCCACATTAAGTTTACAGTGAGAAAGGAGGGTAATTTCTCAGGGTCTGTGATGGTATTCTCTAAAGAGAACCTACAGTGAATGACTCTCCAATGTACAAAGAAGGACAAACAAAATAACATTTTTTATGTAGTTTTAATTACCTTGTAAAATAGCCTCTCACTTAAAAAAAAAAAAACAACAACACAATTTGTATAGCAACATTATGGACAGCTTAGCACCAAAACTTTASTACGATTAAATCTGTATAATAGGGTTATGAATAAGTTTGATTTTCTTTCTTGTATTTTTAAATTTACAAATAAAAACACMCAGGAAAATGGGTTACCTTTTGGATCAGGAAAAGAAATGAAGTAAGATAATTCCCATTTTGTGGAAAAGGATCCAAAACGATGATTTACCTGTTCTGCTTGCTGTCAGAGTGGTTGTGCCAGCTCTCTCCAGGGGCCCATCAGCAGGATTCCCTTGGGAATATGGTCTGCCACAGCTGAGAAATATTGGAAAAGTCATAAGTATATCTTTCTCTTTTCAAAATACCAAACATATACACAATCTTTGTGTACACTGAGATAGACACAGGGCTGAGGATGTAGCTCAGTGGCAGAGCTCTTGCCTTGTATGTTCTAGGCCTTGGCTTTAATTCCCAGTACCACAGAACAAAAGACAGACATCTACAATAACATTTCTTTACTTTTACTTATTTGTCATGGAAAAATTCATTTTGTTTTATACATGGATGCTAACAGGCAGTCGACTGCTTTTGTTTTTGTGAGAGAATAATAAACAGAGGGATTAGAAATTTCATCTGCCTCCCATTCTCCTTCTCTCTACAGTCTAGACCATATTTGAGGTAAAATTGTGGTAAAATTTTGTTACATTATTTGGAGAAAACTGGGGTAGGYTGCCAACTGTTTATAGCAGTGATTCTGGGGAGGCTGATTCTGGGGAGGCTGATGGAATATCTTTTTACCTGCTTAAAAATTTCTGTATTAGATTTATTTTTACAGATATTTTAAGAAAGCATGTGTTAATTTTTATTTTTGCTAAAAAATGAAAGCGAATTCATTTTTAAGATCAATCGGTAACCTGTCTAGACTCTAAGGAAATGAACCAAGAGATAAACACTTTGGTGATGAGTGAATGTATGGTTGACTAGATGTGGTGCTGGTTGAGAAAGATGGACCAGTGAGGCACCGTGTGGGTGACCAAGAACATCAAAAACACTTGGGAGGTGAATGGTGCCCCTTAGCAGAAGGCGTTGAAGAATGTGGGATATATATTTTTCTTTTCTCAACAACTTTCCTGTTTTATTAGTTAAAAAGTAACTCCAAATGGTTGGGCAGATGGGGTCCTCTCTTCTTCCTTTTGAGACACTTCATGATTAAATTTTAATTCTGAATTTTGCCACTAAGTTCTATTTTTCTATTTATAGAAAAGATGAAGAATGCGATCTTCTATGGAAGACTCTTAACCAAGAGTCTCAGAAGACTTTTTTTGGTCTGTTAGTTATTTACAGATCACCCACTCAAATAAAAAGAAATGAGTGAGTTTATTGTCTAATATATTAAATGTCTCATCACTTTTCTCTCCATTATGCATGTGTGTGCAATAAAGAAAAGCATTTTCTGGCTAGAGAATATCTTCATACTAAGTAAATTTACTGGTCAACCCTTGAATGTCATTAGAAAGCATTATATAAAAATCATTTTTTAAAGGATGAAATACTATCTCTTTACTTTAGGGAATCAAAAGACAATGAGAGAATAAATAGAAAAAGGGAGTGCATGCAACTGACGGATGGTCTTCAATTCTCAGATGCAGATTGGTAGAAGGAGAGTTTTATTAGTTTACAGATTTTTCATTGCAAGATAATACCTAAAAAGTAATACTGAAATTAGAGTTCAAATATATCAGCTCCTGTGCCAAAAAAAAAAATGGCTTGTTGCTTAGACATTACAGCAGCCAAGAGACTGGGACTCAATGCCAAACCCTTCGAGTTCAGCAGGGGAAACCACAATAATTAGTCGTGTGTTTTTGGACCTCTCTGTGCCTACATGGGTGGCTGCCTTGAAGGAAATAATAAAACCTGGTTTGAATTATAGATTTATAAAGCCCAAACAAATAAAACACACACTACTGGATTTATAAACATTACTGAACAAGTAGACAGTGAAATCCCCTTGTTTTTCTCTGAAACCTCTTTTATAAAAATCCCATTACATTCTTCCCGCCAAGATCACAAAAAAATAGGCTATGATGAGGAAAGCTCCATGGGAGGAAGGTCTTTCCTGAACATCCCTCTCCTTTCTTTAGGCAGCTTATTTCCCACAAGTCTGGAGTCCAGAGTGGGAGGGCTCCCTAGAAAAGCTGGAAGCAGATGTCCTCAATGCAGATTGCTCTAAGGGGCTCCATTGTGGCCCAGAGCATACCCACAAATCCTGCTTCTTCAGTTAGTCCTGTCTGACATTAGATTCCTGGGCAAGGATAGGGTGCTAGCCCATGAAACTGGCTTTGTCGTTAAAGTTCAGAACACAAGGGATAAAATAAAAATTGAGAGGTGTTCTTTTAGCACAACTTCTCAGAGCTTTGAATAAGATGATTCATGTTGAGAGTCTCCAACAGAGAAATATGCTGCGTCTCCTAGACATTCTATTACAGAACAAGTGTTTCGGGGAAGTTAGTGTCCTTCAGAAATATTTTATTAGAAGTGGCTGACAAAGAGAGGAAGGAACCGTTTTAAGATGGCAGACTAAGTTTTCAACTCAGTCCCTACCCAAAGAACACACAAAACTGACTTCCTGTTTACAAATATTTGCAAAATGTTAAGAAATAAAAATAAAGATTATAAAATAAATGACACCCATTTAACTTCTAGAGTGCTTTAGTTTGGATCTATACTTATATTTCAAAGTCCCATGAGTTAAAAGCTTGATCACTGCCGGTGGTAATACTGGAAGGAAGTAGAACCACTAAGAGGTGGGATTGAGTAGGAAGTTAGGTCATTGGTGGGGGGTGTGTGCTCTAGAAGGGACTGGGACCTGAACCTCTTTCTCTACTCTTGCTTCCCAGCCACCCGGAGATGAGCAGTTTCCTCTGCCATCTGCTCTCTGCCATGATGTACTGCCATGCCACAAGCCATAAACCARCTAAAGTCAAGCAAWCGTTGAACAAAACTTCTGAAACTRTGAGCCAAACTAAACTTTTCCTCCTTTAAGTTGATTTATGTTAGGTATTCTGTCATAGAGACGGAAACTGACTAAGTCACAGAGTTTATGAACAAAATCTAGAAAATGGAACTTGTGAAGCTTCTTATCAGTTGCTAGTTCTTAAAATGGAATATACTGATAAAATCTGGGTCCATGAGCCAATATTTGCTACTTGAAAACCAACATGTTACGAATTTATTCAAATATTTCTCCTCATTAACCTTAGAAGTATCATTTTGATGAAGGAATTCTCATGATTATACTTAAAGCACTCAACTATTTTATATTATAAATATTTAATGATTTAAGACCAATTATTGAAGTTGAAGCTATTAATGAAGAACAATAAAAATATATTAATCAGTAGGATTAATTTCTTAGTAATAATGTTGATAAAGTAATTACTTTGGCCATGTTAGACCCTCTTTTCTTATCCTTTAATAAATAATCTTTTATAATTCTTTTTCAACAAGACAGAGTGGTACAAACAATTGCTTAATAGCACGCAGAGAACTATTAGCGTCTAGCCATAATTTGCCATACACCATTGATGCATTTTTAAAGTGCTAAAATTGGAAATGCAAAGTGCAGACAAAATATCTTTAATATCAATGTAAAGTACTCCCAGGAGAACAAGTAAAACACATTTCAACCCAGTGTCAGATGATATCAGATTAGCTGGTGTAATTTTTCAATTAGATATTTTATGCATGCTCCATCAACTGCAGACAAAATTATTATTATTTGGTAACAGAATTATTATTATTTTGTAATCATTATTATTTGTAACAAAATAACAACAGATTATTTGGAGACATCTCCAAAGATTAACTGTGTGGACTGCATGGAGTCTAAGTTTTCTATTGATAGAAAACCACTGAAACATTCAGTTTCTCTTCATGTCTATTAAATCCAAATCATATCATCCTACACTTTCTTGTTCTTTTGGCAAACTTCATCAAACTGTATAGATAGGTGGCATTCTGAGGAGGAAAACTGTTATTATTAGACTTCAGTTAACACCACAAAATCCTTACCTGCTACATATAACAGGTGGAGTCAGGACCTGAGGGGACAGGTCAGGGGCACTCTGAGTATAGGTTAAGGCCCTGTGAGAACTTGGCCCTTGTTTGGCAGTTGTGTCAGCAGATTCTGGAAACTGCACTGTGGAAATTTTGCTGACAGGGCTGCTGGCTGGAGTCCCTTGGAGAGGCGAGGAGCAGGGCGATGAAAGAGGTGAAATTTTAGSGAGGGCACCTGAGAAAGAAAGTTATTAAGTCACTAAACATATGTCTTTGAAATGCAAATGTGCAACTGTTGCACTTCACCCTGCTCCAGTAAACTCAAAACAGCCACGTGTAAACTCAGGCCACTGAGTTGGTCTCCACATGCCACCATCTGGAGGCAGGGTGTGTGGTTGGGGTGTCTCCACAGCATGAAATGAGAGTAATGAATCATCATGAAAAATTGGTGGCAATGTTGGCGCATCCAGCTAAAGCCTTGGTGTCCTGGAGTAACTTCAGGACAGAAGGATATTTTTCCTCCCATTTTTGTTTCTTGTCATTTTGACTTGAAAACAACCGTTACACTTTTCTCCTGTGTTTGCTTTCTCTGAGGCTGAGAAGCTTTTAGCGGGGACAGATTTACTATTGTTTTCAACATTAAGCTCAGTGTGCTAGGCATGCAATTCTGAAAATAAAGGAGATAAATTTTTTGAGGAGCAATTAACCTTATTAACCATTTGTGTTCTCAGAAAAACAGCAACTTTTTATGTGAAATAGTGCTTTGATCAAAATAATTCTTGAAGAAAACATTTAAACATCTAATGTGATCCATTTCATATCAAACAATAGACCTAAATCATAGATTTCAAATGTGAGTGTGTGTGTCAGACATTGGAAATGTGTTTTCTCTAGGTTTTGAGAATTATCCAGGATGYTGGCTTGGATTTGCAAGCATTGATGCTGGAGGAGGAGGATATTTTTTGAAGCTGCTCTCTCTGAACACAGAGAAGGTGGCCTATGCTTGGAATTAAAAAGAAAAAAACAAAACACCAAACATGTACCTTCCAGAGGACTACATGCTTACTGTTTTTCGTGATTTTTATGGCTGAACCTCCTACTCTAGGGGGCATGAAATGGAATCATCCTGAGTTGTTCTCTATTTCTCACTGTGTGTGTGTGTGTGGGGGGGGGGGGGGGGGGGGGGGGGGGGGGGTTAACTGGCAGCTGGCTTAGAACAGGGTTTGTTTCCAAGATCCAGTTCCCTCAAAAGTTTGATTTGTCACACCCAATGGTTTTCTGCTCCACTGAAAGGAATATTAAGCTTGCTGAAGGGTTTTTGCAATTTATTTTTATATTTCTTCTTGGCACTATTATTTTTCTGTTTTGTTTTAAAAGATGAAAAATCTCATTTTTCCTTTGCTCAAATGTGGGGAGCAGCCGCCTCCTAGTCCTCTGCTTAACATTTATTTCCATTCTTCATTCTTATCAAACTTTTGCATTGATCCTGAACAAGTGAAACCTCTTAGACCCAAAGAGGTTAAAGAGCCCTGTCAGGGTCACAGTTCTAGGAAGCAGAGAATATGCTATGAGCCCAGCTATTCTGAGTAAAATGTGGTTCATTTATTAGCTCAGGCTTCTATCAGAAACCATCCAAAGGAGAATAAAAATCCACCATCCACTTACCAGCATTTGTACTGATTTTTGTGACTGGGTTGATGGTTTATATTCTGATTCCTAGTTCAACTACCAAGATTTAGCTATTTTAGCAAAGATACTGACCTTAATGCTTCATGGATTCCTGAATTGAAAGAAAATTCATTAAATTTTTAACTCAGAACTTCCCAACAAATATAGTATCATGTACTGCCAGTGAGTTTGTCAGAGTGCTATGAGATAATTAATGGTTATAAATTAAAAGAAAAAAAGAAAGGTTTTTRTATGAAAGCTCCAGAGTAAACTCAATTTTTAATATTCTAATATGATTGTTACATTTTAAATTTATGAAATAAAGGAAATATATTTTTCACCAAGCTCTAAATCACCAAGCTTTCCATTTCTCCACTGATATATCACATTATCACACTTACAAAGGTACATACAAGTGGGCTATGATTAAAAAAAAGAAGAAGAAAGGTTGAAAAAGGGTGGTCTGATTTATACTATGTGGAGGATTAAGCCAGAGACTACAGATAATCTTAGAAAAGCCATGTAACCATAAAGGAGCTAAATCCTGGTATGGTGATATATAAAGGTTACCAAGGTATGTGCACTGAAGAGGCATCTCAATGATTCACTCACTTAACAAATACCTATTATGTGTCCTGTTCCAGGGATACAGTGGTAGAAAATGAAGCCCCTGTTCTCATAGAGCTCCCACTCTCCAGGGACGCAGAAACAACAAAATAAAAATCAATAAACAAGAAAGAAAAGGAAATGGATGTAATTCCAAGTGATATGAAGAACAAGCAATGTAGAGGGTAGAGAACAGAGGAGAGAAATGCTCTTTAGAGAAGACAGTCTGAAAAGACCTCGGTGGGTCATAAAATCTAAACACAGGCCTGCTGAAGTAAGGAWGATATTCAGACGGGAGTGTGGGGAAAGCATGTTCCAGAAAGAGGGACTCACCAGGGGGAGGGCAGAGGCTGTCAGCTTAGCACAAAGGAAGAAAAGGGCAGGGAATAGGAACRCAGAGGGGCTGCTCTGCATGCCTGGTGGGGGTTGAGCAGGGCCCTGGCAGTGTTTTAATTTGCTATGTCTTAAAAAAGTAAACTCCTGATAGACCTTCTTTAGGCAGCCACTTAATTATTTTGATAGAAAATTATGAGTTTGGGCACAGTTTTCTACTAGTCCTACACCCCATGCCCCAGAATGGCAGTTCAAAGCCCATGGGACCATTCTCCATTTATGTCTCCACATACGGCTTTTCAGAAGGCAATTTATGTGAATGGTGATCTTTTTTTTTTCTTTGCTAACTTTTAGAAGTTGCCAGCTGACGGACTCAGACACATACATTTCACTCTTAAATACACATTTAAAATTCATATAACCATTAGGGTTCTTGGACCTTTGCACTTAACTAAATTTAAACCAATAAGCAGACTTTAAGACTCCTGGGATGAAACCTTAAATAAATCTGTAACAGAGGAGAACCAATTTACTTTTATAGTACTTTAGTTAACATGTTTTGAACTCTTTTAAAAGCATGGGTCTTGGCAACAACCCTAAGAAGCAAGGATATTTTTATTTTGTACGTGAGAAGATAAAGGTATAAAATTTACTTAAAATTTTAAAAACCCAGAGGATTAGGAATTCCACCGGAAAAATATATACCCACCCAGCCACCACCCCCAAAGAGAAATGTAGATACCATCAAGTATCCCTTACCTAAAATGCTAGGACCAGAAGAAGTGTTTTAGATTTCAGAATTTGGGGGATTTTTGAATATTTACATGGACATTACCAGGTGAGTATCTCTAATCCAAAAATTCAAAATCTRAAATGCTCYAATTTGGACTGTTACATTTGGAATGTTTAACCTGTGATTGCCAAATATTTTTCTTTTTAGAAAAGAATAAATAAATGATTTTTGACATTTGAAGGGGATTCTCTCAAGAAATGTGAGGAATAACCTTCTTCTGCAAATCTTTGAAAACAGATTTCCTAAGATAATTCAAATGTAATCATGTCTAAAGTTACAGGGATGACTATCATAACCCCTCTAGGCCTCATTTAATTGTATGTTGCACATTCACACAGATACAMACATTTGTGAAGTGCATTCTCTCAAATATATTTTTCTTCATCTTTTATATCACTCTTAGAAACTCCAGGAGTAAAAGGCATAGCTTCTGAAGTGTAAGCCTTTGAATGATACAAATTTTCCTAATGTGAAATACTTAAAAAATTATCTTAAAACAGAAAATTTAAAACTACAACAACAAAAATTGTCTAAAATAGTTACTCCTTTGAGTGAGTCTTTAATTCCTTGTTATTGAGAGCATGTGAAAATGTGGTCAAGACATAAGGAACTGTGGGTAATCAAAGGGAGAAGATAAACAGTACCGCAGGGGAATTCTTTAAGTGAATCCATCTGTTTTGTGCTACAAAACTCTCTCAGTTTAATTGAACAAGAAAGGAACCAGCCTGTCTGATAAATCCATGCCTCTTTTCCATGCCTACAGGAAATGACCAGTCCTAATATTTTTTTCCAAAACACAAAATGAAACTAAAGAATTGTTTCCTTTATTTCAAAATTTTGTAGGAAAAACTTGGTCTTCTCTACAGGTGTAGAGATATCTGCACTCAATATAACAGGCCAAACTTGAAAGATACAGCAACTATGGATTAGAGGAATTTGAAAAGCAGAATGACAGAATGACGTCATGGTAGCTTCCCATTGTCAGTGATTTACAGAAGAGGAGCAAGATTGAAAATGCAAATTACATTTAAATCTCCTGCTTTATGCTTTAATCAAAGGRCTCCTCTGTGATTTCATCCATTTATTTTATATTAGTGACTGCATAATAATTTCTTGTGTTTCAGCTACTTAAAATTAACATTGATTGACTGAGCTAGAGGACACATTGTTTACTTGATTTGTGCAAAGAACAGATTCATTAAACCCTTCTGAAAACAGGTCATTTATCTTTTAGCTTGCTTGTGTTTTACTTCATGCTTGCTTTCCCTCCCCACCTCATTGCCCATTGCTCTAACACTTCCTCCTCAAACTCTCTTCACACATCATTGAATTACATTTGCTTATACTCTTTGCCCCATGAGGGGCTTTCCCCAGCCTCTTTCCACATAGTTCATTGAAAACCAGGTGACATCCTAGTAAACCACATCAAACACAGCAYACCTCCTGACCACCCTCAACCCAGGCATGCTGTTCATGCTAGGACACAGGGGTTTTAAATCAGAAGCACTCACCTGACCCRGGAAAATTGCAACCTAATTCCAGCACTGATTCTTGATAGATGTTTTTCTACCTTTTGGCAGACTTTCAGGGGTTTTTTAAAAATTGAATTCAGTGCACATAGGATGCAAGGTTATTTGATAAACACATGGCTCTGTGCTAAAAACACCACAATGCAAAGTCCCCTTCAAAGTAATCCCAAGGGAGATCCTTATGCCCTTAATGGCAAGAAAGAAGGGAGACTCTGGCTACGGCAGGACTTTAGCTTCTACCTCAGTCCTTATGGCATATGACATGGGCATTCTTTTTCCTTTTACACTGTGTCCCTTCTTCTCCAT